CCCCAAAACCCCAAAACCCCAAAACCCCAAAACCCCATATATGCAGCCAGATATAGAATTGGCAATAAATAAATATGACAGACATCAAGAGACTCCTAGAAAATAGGAGAGAATATATTGCTTCCCTCAATAGAGACTTACCAGTGATTTCATCCAGAGTCATGTCAGCCAGCCCTAATAGGAGATGTGGAAAGATTTCAAGAGCTGCCATGATTGTATTGGATACTCAGAGTATGTCTGAAAATCTAATTTCTCTACCTTTTTGTGTCGTAGAAGTTTGAAGAATACCATAACCTGAACTTTATATCCAGGAATGTTTTGGAAATATTCAATTAGTGCATTAAATAATTTTCATTTTTTCTGCAAAGTTTTAGGCTTACCATTACACACTTTGGTACGAATCATAAAAATTCATTCATGAGGAAATATTTAAGCTAACAAATGTTCTCAGCTTGAGGGTAATCGTCTGAAAATAATTTTAAGAATCCAAAATTTGTATCGGAAATTCTTAATTTTTATTCTAAAGGAATTGAAGAATGTTTCCTCCAAATATTTTGCTGTATTAGTATCAAGGGACTTGTCAAGACTACAAGCTCTTGATATTCTTGGGGACTGTTACCTAATTGTTAGAGGACTATATAACTAAAATTTCTTCTTTTTTGCTCCCATAGGTCTTCTTTCTCAAAAAAAAATCACAATTAGCTAAAAATAGTGAATTTCTATTATCTTAAGTAATCTTACAAAATCCTCAATTAGGAATTTTAGCCGTAACTGATAGAGGAAGAGTATAATCCTGCACTTGTAGGTATGAGTATCTCAATCTATCTTTATCTTAGGTCCATGGGATGAGTCACCCGCCGGATCGAATACTTCCAAATTATTTATCCTGATAAGCATACTGAGGTTTATTAACTTCTAATAACTCCTAATGCTAATGTTTAACTTAATATCCAAGAGAAATTATAAAGAAGAGATCTCTTATCCTACTCGCTTATTGCAATATCCTGATTCAAATTCTCTGTATTTCTTCGTTCACAAATTGGTGAGATAGGCCACCATAATTTCAGTGCCTCGGGTTGTCCAAGTTAAATACTTTAATTCTAATGAAAATAATTCAGTGCTGATTATTTATGTAAGCCAGTTGGTCTGATAAGCTTGATAAAATTCTTAAAGTTGAGTGGATATTAAATACGTCCAACTGCATCTGTCTGAAACCTTATTATATAGCATGCGGAAATATTTTATAATTGCCATTCATACCTGATTTTAGTTTTTAAACCATTAATCTACATTTAATACTTATCTTGTTGACCGGTAGCTTCCTAAAATTAGGAGTATGGTTTGCTCATGATGTCTTAGCATAAATGAATCACCCCTAGGTGCCAAAGAATATCCAACCTGCACTCAGCAGATGAATTTAGGGTTAAACACAACTCCCTCTTGTTGATATGTATACTAGTATCAGATTTTGGAAAGTAAATTTTGTGGTTACATTTAAGCTTAATGGAAGATTTTTAATATTTTCTAGAAGCACACTATTTCATATGAGGCTTGTTAAGAAGATTTTACTAGGCCAGATGTTATAGCTTATGGTGAATTCAGCTTCTGGATATTTTTCAATTGGCTAACTGAATGGTTTGTTGCAAGGGTTTATTGTGATAAATCTTCCACTCAAATTTTGCTACCCAGGAGTGATTTCATGGGACTACATTTCATAATGTTTCAGTATGAAATCTCTTCAGGCTTCCAAATCATTAGTTTCATACCATTTTGATTACGCTATATTTATGCTACAATAATTAAGAAAGTAAAAGGGCTTACCGAAAATAAGAATATTTTTCAGTGAAATGGGAGGTAGACTTCTAAGTTTACTATCCAGATTAGTTCTAAAGCATCCAGAAATCCAATAGACAATATTTCTTTATTTTGTTTGAGCGATATCCTTTTAGTATGCAGCTTGAAGGATAGAAACAATAGTAATCCAATATGTACTTGGTCAACTGAATATTATTTTCATAAGTCAATTTATAAATAAAGTGGTTTAACTATACCAAATAAAACATTAGTGATCTATTCTTAAGCTGTGTTCTAGAAGGCAATCGACTAGGGTAAAAACTCTTAATTATGAGCTATAGGATAATTTCTAATGTGCTTACTCAGTTCGAGAAGGATATCACAGCACGTTTGATATTTTCATGATTGCTATGACTCAGTCTAACTAAGCTATGATTTTAATATGGTTCTCACCTCCTTTTTTTTTGGAAAATCTTGAACAGTGAAATTATGAATGCAATTTTACAAACTTTGATTAATGAATCTCAATTATTTAACAATAATATGTAACGTAAATTCAGATTTGATTCCTTGATCTGCTAACTTTACTTATAGGGAGACAAGCCAATCCAACCTTCTTTAAATACCGCAATTTTGCAGTATGCAATGATGAGCTAAAAGAGAAGTGAATGCCTAAGGAAGAAAGAAAAAGGTAAGCTTCTTCCTGATCTCTAGAGTTCGCAAAGAAATGAAGGACTATGTAAAGATTTCTTCCAAAATCCATGGCAGACTTAGATGCTTCAGCCCTGGCTGTTTCAACTCAAAAAGGCTTCTGGAGGGGAAGTTCGATCAGTTCTTTAACAAGGTACTCTTAATGGCCTATATTGGTTATTTACCTAATTAACTTAATTTCTCCAGACTAGCTCAACTTTGTCTAGAGGAAAGCATTGAAGAGGTGACATAAAAGAGAAATTAAACTGAGTCCGTCTTTATGGAAGAGGTAAGATCTAAGGCTGCTGAGATAACACTACATAGTATTTCATTAAGAGAAAGAGCAGAAGGACAGTATGATACCACTAGTAAAGACCCGATTAGTTATCCTGAGAATGAATCAGACCTAAAATGGAATGATAAGTGGACTGATCTGAGAGTCTCAACTTGAAAAGTGAAAGCAAAAGAATCCTGAGCTAGTGGAAACATTAAAGCCTCTCTGGAACTTGTTTATAGATAAAAATATGTTACATTCAGAATGTTTAGATAAGCTTTCCTAATTTCTTAGAAACGTCAGCATAGAGGTTTTAATTTTATCAAAGAACTAGGGTTCTATTTTTATATAAGCTTGAAAAATTTTATTAGAAGCAAAACACTTCAATTATTTTCGGTAAAATTGGGGTTTTGGGGTTTTGGGGTTTTGGGGTTTTGGGG